GTTGCTAATACTGGAGATAAGATATAGCCACCATAATTATTAATCATTAGTATCCTTGTCCTCTGTGAATTTGTGTGATCCTAATCCACCCTGTCTTTATATCTAACCAATTTGGTGGCTATCATTGTATCTCACAGAAGCAAAGTCTATCAACTAAGTACTGCATGCACCATGTGTCAGAAATTATCCCCAGAGTCTGAGTTTTTCTGTCTACGCTTTCCGTTTTGTAAACAACATATCTTTTTGTTGAAGCTGATAGCAAAACCCTTTCCTGTTCATTTTAATAAACCCTGTTACATAGATTGCTGTTAATCCTAAAATAAAGCAAACAATAGCAAACTTTGCCATCAAATGAATGGTTTTGTCTTTATTCTCATTATAGTTTTTAACGGATGCCTTTACTTACATTTTTATTTGGTCGTCAATGTATTTCTTTAACTGTCCTATAACAGACGTTACCTGGCAGATCAAAGACAAATAAAACATTAAAATTGAGTATAAAATAGTAGAAAATGAATTACATTCAAACCATTGTTATAATCAAGCTAAAAACTTGCCACTGTTTTGAAGGCTCATAATAATAAAGAGGTTTTTGTCTGAAGCTTAAAAGGCCATGAAGATGGTTTGCCAGGTTAATCAGTCTGTGAAAGTTGTCTATCTTCAACCTAGATCTGCTGAACTGTAGTCAAACATTCTAATTGCTGCATTGTACATAACACTCAGTTAATTTGGACCCTGAAGGAAATGAGAGCCAATGCATCTGAAACTGCAGTCATAATGCGGTCAAGACAACCAGTCTCAGTTTGGGAGATTGATCCCTGTTACTCAAGGGATAAAACACTCTTTTTCATTTCTGCTTATGTTACAGCATTTGTATGGCACAAGAAGGAAATCGGATGTGCACACAGCCACAATTACGTTGCACAGCCTGGGATATGATGTTTAATGTTTTGAGAAAGGAAGGTCAGTCACTACTCCTTCCCCCACCAGAATCCTAGGTGTCACCTGATACCTGTAGCACAATGGTGGGTAACCTTCATGGGGATGAGGTACATGGTTTTCATTGTCCAGCAGCCTGAGGACCACATTCTCAATCAACATTTCCTCTAATTTTCTGGAACATTGCATGGGAACTCCACTCTGTGCATATGGGGTTTTGGCCACAATCAGAAGCAAATGGGTGGGAATACTGCCTTGGCTGTACATGCCTGATGTAGCGCTGCAAGCTTGCGTGGCTCAGAGGGAATGTTGCTCTCAAGGGAATGTAGCTAAAGAGGCACATTTGCATTTTTAATTCTGATGCAAGGTAGAAAACATTACCTATTTTTCAATTTTAAATACTTTACATACAGTGGTGCCTTGACTTATGAACTTAATTGGTTCCGGAACTCGGTCGTAACTCGAAATGGTCGTAAGTCGAAGCATCACTTCCCATAGGAATGTATTAAAATGCAATTAATCTGTTCCAGCTGAAGAAAAAAAATCACCAAAAAACCCCACGAAAAACAAAACACTGCAAGACCCATTGGAAACACAATTAATCCGTTCTGGCCTAAGAAAAAAAACACCAAAAACCCACAAATCACTGCAAGACCCATCGGAAATGCAAAAGAAGCAAAGCAGAAAGCAAAAAAACCATGCAAGACCCTTCAGAAATGCAAAAAAGCAAAGCAGAAAGCAAACAAACCCTGCAAGACCCATTGGAAATGGGGGGAACCCCAAAAGCAAACAGACCCTTCAATACCCATTGGAAATGGGAAAGAAATCCCCCCAAAAGCAAACAAACCCTGCAAGACCCATTGGAAATGGGGG